TATCCCCATATCACGCCATCCTTGATAGCCATGCCAAGACTGTTACTTTAACGATGCCAGAGTTGCCGAGATTGGAGTGGAAGTGATCTCTTTTTTGAAGGCTCGACACATGATCGAGAAGGGTTGTATGTCTTAACTTATGTTCAGGATACTATCGCAGAGACTCCAGCGATTAATTTAGTGCCAGTAGTCTTGGAGTTCTCCGATGTGTTTCCTTCTAATCTTCCAGGCATTCCACCAGATCTTGATATCGATTTTTGTATTGACTTGGCTCCAGGTACCCAGCCTATATCTATCCCACCGTATCGTATGGCTCCAAAAGAGTTGAAAGACAGCTTGAGGAGTTGCTAGCAGAGGGGTTCATAGACCAAGTGTATCACCTTGGGGTGCACCCGTGTTATTTGTGAAGAAGAAAGATGGGACTATGGGGATATTCATTGGTTACCGCCAGTTGAACAAAGTTACCATTAAGAACAAGTACCCGTTGCCGTGTATTGATGACTTGTTTGACCAGTTGCAGGGTGCTAGGGTGTTCTCTAAGATCGACCTGAGGTCGGGGTACTATCAGTTGAAGATTCATGACTCAGATGTTCCGAAGGCTGCTTTCCGTACTAGATATGGCCATTATGAGTTTTTGGTGATGTCCTTCGGCTTGACTAACGCCCCTGCGACATTTATGGATTTGATGAACATGGTGTTCAGGCCTTATATTGATTCGTTTGTCATTGTCTTCATTGATGTCATTTTGATCTACTCACGCAACATGGAGGAGCACGAGCATCATTTGAGAGTGGTGCTTCAAACATTGCAGGAATAGAAGCTATATGCTAAGTTCTTCAAGTGTGAGTTTTGGTTAGATTCTGTAGCATTCTTGGGGCATGTTGTATCGAGCGAGTGTAGTAAGGTGGATCCCAAGAAGATTGAGGCAGTTCAGAGTTGGCCTCGTCCTACTTTGGCGACCCAGATCAGGAGCTTCTTGGGATTAGCAGGTTATTATCGCCGGTTTGTGGAGGGCTTCTCATCCATTGCAGCACCTTTGACCAGATTGACCCAGAAGGGTGCTCCATTCCGTTGGTCCGACGATTATGAGTCAAGTTTCTAGAAGCTCAAGACAGCTTTGACTACAACACCGGTACTAGTCTTTCCTTCCGGTTCGGGGATGTATACTGTGTATTGTGATGCTTCACGCGTTGGCTTGGGTTGTGTATTGATGCAGGAGGGGCGGGTTATTGCATATGCTTCACGTCAGCTGAAGATTCATGAAAAGAATTACCCTGTGAACGATCTAGAGTTGGCCGCGATTGTTCATGCTCTTAAGATTTGGAGGCATTATCTTTATGGGGTGTCATGTGAGGTTTACATTGATCATCGCAACTGGCAGCATTTGTTCAAGCAAAGGGATCTCAATTTGAGGCACTGCAGATGGATTGAGTTGCTGAAGGATTATGACATCACCATTCTTTACCAACCAGCCAAGGCGAATGTAGTTGCGGATGCTTTGACAGAAAGGCAGAGAGTATGGGTAGCTTGGCCTTCATTTCAGTAGAGGAGAGGCCACTAGCTTTGGACATTCAGTTCGTGGCTAGCAGACTTGTGAGGTTGGACATTTCAGAGCCCAGTCGAGTTCTTGCATGCGTCATTGCCCAGTCTTCACTATTGGAGCAGATCAAGGATCGACAGTTTGATGATCCTCATGGTGCTCAGAGAGACGGTACAACAGGGTGGTGCCAAGGAGGTTTTTATTGGTGAGGATGGTATTCTGCGACTCCAGGGTCGTCTATGTGTTCCTAATGTTGATGGATTGAGGGAGATGATTCTAGACGAAGGCACACAGTTCTCGATATTCCATTCATCTAGGTTCTACGAAGATGTATCGTGACATGAGACAACATTATTGGTGGCGGCGGATGAAGAAAGACATAGTTGAGTGTGTAGCTAGGTGCCTAAATTGCCAGCAGGTTAAGTATGAGCACCAAAGGCCAGATGTCCTACTCCAGCAAATGACTATACCGAAGTGGAAATGGAAGCACGTTACTATGGACTTCGTAGTTGGGTTGCCGCGGATCTTGCGGAAGTTCGATGTAGTTTGGGTCATTGTTGACAGGTTGACCAAGTCGGCACACTTCATGCTAGTTGCGACTACTTATACTTCAGAGAGGTTGGCCCAGATTTATATTCAGTATATAGTTTGGTTGCACGGACCATCATATCAGATAGAGGACCTTAGTTTACTTCGCATTTCTGGAGAGCCGTACAACGTGAGTTGGGGAACCGTGTAGAGCTCAGCACCGCATATCATCCACAAACCGACCAGCAATCGGAGTGGACAGTTCAGATCTTGGAGGACATGCTCAGAGCATGTGTGATTGACTTTGAAGGGCAGTGAGATCGATTCTTACTTTTGGCCGAGTTTGCTTACAACAACAGTTATCAGTCCATCATCGAGAAGGATCCATTTGAGGCTTTAAATGGTCGGTGATGTCGTTCTCCCATCGGGTGGTTTGAGCCCGGCAAGGATAAATTATATGGTACTGATTTGGTGAAGGATGCTTTGGAAAAAGGTAAAGTTGATTCCAGAGCGACTTCGCACAGCACAGTCCAGACAGAAGAGTTACGCGGATCAGAAGGCGCGTGATTTATCATTTATGGTAGGCGAGAAGGTTCTCTTGAAAGTCTCGCCTATGAGATTCGGGAAGAAGGGCAAGTTGAGCCCAAGGTTTATAGGCCCATTTGAGGTGTTGAGATGAGTTGGGGAGGTGGCTTATGAGCTTGTCTTAACTCCAGTCTATCGGGAGTTTATCCGGTATTCCACGTGTCTGTGCTCCGGTGGTATCATGCTGACTTGTCACACGTGTTGGACTTTAGCACGATCCAGTTAGATGAGAGCCTGGGTTATGAGGAGGAGCTAGTTGCCATTATTGCTAGACAGGATCGGTAGTTGAGATCAAATAGGATTTTCGCGGTAAAGGTTCAGTGGAGGGGCCAACTAGTCGAGGAGACGACCTGGGTGTCCTAGGAAGACATGCGAAGCAGATATCCACACTATTCAGCACTCCAAGTATGATTCTAAACCCGTTCGAGGACAAACGTTTGTTTAAGAGGTGGACAATGTAACGACCCGACTGGTTGTTTTGCTTTCCAGAACCTCGTTCCCATAATTAAGACTTCTTGTACGTGTTTTACTGTTTCATGACTTGCGGGGATGGTTAGTTCGGGATTTGGAAAGGTTCGGGTTGAAACCGGAACACTTGGTTCCTTAAGGTTGGCTTAAAAGGATAAGTTTGACTTCGGTCAACATTTTGGGTAAACGACCCCGGAATCGAGATTTGACGGTTCCAATAGGTTCGTATGATGATTTTGGACTTGGGCGTATATTTGGATCGGGTTTTGGACGACCCGAGAGCATTTCGGCGCCTAATAGTGAAAGTTGGCATTTTGAGTGAATTTCATAAGTTTGGGTTAAAGTGGCTTTTTACATTCTAGACGTCCGTTTTTTGATTCCGAGCCTGGAAATAGCTTTGTATGGTGATTCTGGACTTAGGAGCGCGTCTGGAAGTGGATTCGGAGGTCCGTAGGTCGTTTCGGGGTCATTTGGCGGAAGTTAGAAATTTGAAGTTTTTGGAAAGTTTGACCGAGGGTGGACCTTTTGATATCGGGTTCGGATTTGCGATTGGTTTGTTGCATTTGCGACCTTCGCATTTGCGAACAGGGTGTCACAAATGCGACATCTGTGGCCTGTGCACAACTTATTAATTACGAGACTTAGACCATTTAGCTCATTTTCTTTCAACTCTTGGGCGATTTTTGGAGCTCTTGGAAGGGAGTTTTCACATAGCACCTTGAGGTAAGTAATTTCTACACAACATGAGTTAAATACATAAACTATGGATATATTAACATGTAAAATTGGTGAAAATCAAGTGTTTAGATGAAAACCTAGGTTTTTGATAAAAAAAGTGATTTGACCACGAAATTGGTTATGGAATTTAGTAAAAATAATATATTTGAGTTCATGGGATTATGGGTAACAACTTTTTTCAAAAATTTCCGGAAATCGGGCACGTGGGCCCGGTGGTGAATTTTAGGAATTTTGTGAATAGGCTTGGGAAATCACCTTGATAGTTAGGATATGAACTTTTGAGCATGTATTGATTACTTTATATAATATTTGACTAGTTTCGAGTTGTTTGGCACCAAATTTAGGGGTTTGAGCACAACCTTGGACCGGAAAGTAGGCCTTGAGACGAGGTAAGTCTCTTTTCTAACCTTGTAAGAGGGAATTAACCCCATAAGTGAATTGAATAAATGTGTGTACTTAATTGTGGGAGCTACGTATGTACGAGTTGACGAGAGTCCATACGTAGCTACTAATTGTGCTATTATCTGGGTAGTCTAGGATTCATATCATACTATACTTGTAGTGTTTGCCCCTACTTGATAAGTTAATTACTTAAGTCATATTGAAATTAATAAAAGAGTTGTAAAGGGTTAAATTTCACTTACTTGAAATTGTAAATGAGACACTTGACTGTTATTGAAAATTTTGTATTTCTTTGAAGTGTTTTCTATTTGTCGAGCGGGCCGAACATCTCGGTAGCAGATAGATGCATCTATGGTTCGTGCCGTTCGACCCTCGGCAGTGCACAGTCTAAATATTATGTTGGATCAGGCTACGACCTCGACATAATTTGCGCATGATAAATCTTTGAAAACTATTCATGATTGATATTGCTTAAATTCATTGAGATACAACTGTTAAATGATGAAAATAAACTTGGGACTTAATATTCGTGAAAGGAATAGTTACTATTTCCTGTTATTGAGTTTTCAGTATTATTCATGTAATCCATGCTTAGTATATAATTTTAATATATCATTGTTGGTCCATAGTAAGTGTCAAAGTCGACCCCTCGTCACTACTTCTTCGAGGTTAGATTGGATACTTACTGGGTACATGTTGTTTATGTACGCACGCTACACTTCTGCACTTAATTGTGCAGGATCTGAGGCAGGTACATCTAGTTATCAGTCTGGTGCGCACGCTGGACTCCTGGTACAAGAATATACGGTGAGCTGCCCTTCCGAGCCGTTTTGCAGCAGGCTAAGTCTCTTTTTGTTATATTTTTCTGTCTATTTCATTTCAGACAGTAGACTAGTATTCTTTTGTATATTCTACTAGAATGTCCATACACTTGTGACACCGAGTCGTGACACACACTAGTAGACTTATGATTTTGGGGTGATTTTTACAGTTGTAATTGCATTTAGCTGCTTTCATTTTGATTATTTTAAATCCGTTATTCATTAAATCTTTTAAATTAAGAGACGTTATTTACTTGAAAAAAAATATTAAAATGGAATATCACTAGATTGTTCACTGTTTGCTTGCCTAGCAACAGTACTAGGTGCCATCACGGCCTAAAATAAAATTGGGTCGTGATAGTCGTTTTCTTAAAAGTCAAACTCTGGTCAACTCTTTTCATTTAAACTTCAAAAATAAGAACCGTTCTTTCAATTAAATCCGGAATCATGCGAAAACCAAACTCGACCACAGACACAAGTCATAATACACAACACGAAACTGCTCGAGACCGTATGCCGCCGATCAGGGCATTAATTCTTAAAACGACTTGTCGGGTCTTGACACCCTTTAAATATAAATTTCATATTAGACAAAATAGTCATTTTAATTATTTCCTATTTGATACTTTAATAATTTTCCTATTATTTAGGACGTCAAAGTTAACTAGCCTAATATTTAGGTCTTTAAAATTAAGTGGGTTATGAAAAGTATTTATAAAATCGTACCACTCGTTTCTTGTTAGAGTTGCATTATGAGGACGAAAATAAAAGAAATTGAATGATAAGTACGACTAGGGATTGGATTCTCATGAGGCGCAATGTTTCTTTAAGCTTCCATTGCAGGAATAATAAGCCTTTCAAAATATTAGTTCAAATATCAAAAACCTCTTCCTAATAATTTTACATGGAGTTTTAATAACAAGTATCCTATTTATTGTTGAAGTTCTAAGGCTATATCAATCCCTTTTACCATTATACAAAAAGTTAAAATGTACTCCGTATATATTCTTAGTCAGTGATTCAGTGTTAAAATATACGGATCTTCCACCGACTAAATTTCCAAACCCACAGGTAATTTACATAATTAATTTCATATTTGTTGTCGGCATGTTATTGTATTTGTTAAATTTACATAATCTTCTTCGTTTCTTTTGGTTCTCCTCAACTAAGTTTTATATCTGTTATATGTTATGAAATCTTTTAATTTTATGTGGTTTGCCTTTACTTTGTGGTGCATTTTGGTATAAAGTCGTTCTGAAGTTTAAAAAGTCGCTATACTTAAATTTCTTTGATTAAGATTTTATTTCTATAAACCCTTTATTATTTGTTTTAATTTCCCCGAATTACACCCAAATTTTTTATCATATTTAAAATAGCAATTGAAAAATTATGTTGTGATCGAGAATGGTGCATAACCCTGCATTCTACATGAGAACTTCAAAAGGAGATAAAATTTTAGTATAATAACGTGTCATATATTTTTTTAGTACAAACTATGAAGGTTATCCATAATTCAAACTTGAAAGTAGTCAAATTAAAAATTTAGTTCCGATTATGTGAAGTGCAACCATCATTCTTCCAAAGTAAATTTAGGAAAGATATAATTACCCTATGAATGTTCTTATGTAGAATTCTTTGTGCTTTGAGCCCCTTTGTTTGTTCAAATTTGGTTCCAAGATTATTACACAAGACATATTTAATATTTAATTTATATACAACAAGGTCCTTCCTGAGGACATGGTTCCAACAATATTATTGACATATTTCATTCAAAAAAAATTGTAAATAAAAGATTTGGGCATCGGCTTGGTGGGAGTATTGACTGTTAGCTAGGCAAAACTTTGAGATTGAAGTACAATTTATGATTAGGTTGAATGGTTGATACATCAAAAGAATCACAAAAATCATAATCATGTGATTCCATAAAGTTGTTTGTCGCACAAGTGTTATTTCACAAGGATCTAATTATATTTTAGGATGAACTATTATCTAAAATTATTATATAAATTAATTTTTAATATTTAGTACTTTGACATTAATTAAACTTTTAGTTATTAACTTCTTCGCTATTTGGACTGCTAGTCGAATATTTAAAAATTTGAATTGAGTAAAAATTTAATTATATAAATCTCTGTCTTATTTCTAATTGTTTTGATAGACTAAAAACAACAAAACTAATTATTAATTTAACAGATTTTATCGTATTAAAGTTTGTACGATCCAAAGATGTATTATTCATAGTGATACATGAATTTGGTTACTAAAAGGAAGCAAAAGATTTAAGTTGAATAAAATAAGTGATGATCGAGGACTGTGTTACAGTTTTTTCAATTATTGAATTAGCCATATATGATTGATACTCATAATTTTAAAGATTTTATACTTTTATTTGATAACTAGCTCAAACACATTTTTTAATATAATAGTTATATTATTCATAAAAAACACTTATATTCATTAATACAGAAAACACGTGTACTAGTATATATAAAATGTTGGATGTGATTTAGAAGTGGGCATAGCTACGCCCTTAGATCATGACACGTAACAACCGTTGTGATTTTACTTGGCTAATACGAGCATTGTAATGTGTCGTGCCTGCTCTATAATATTCAAGAAATCTAGTCACTAATTTAGGCCATATGTTTGTCAAAAATGCTAGCGTATTCGAAAAATAGACGCATACCTAGAAGATTGAGCTAACTGCTATGTCTAACATTTTTTAAGAAATGGCATAATTTTGCAACACGATAGACAATTCAATTTCCACCAGTAGTTTGAGACACATGGGTTGTACTTGTTGCATGCCGTTAGTAATATGTCATTATGATGTTGTGGCGAAATGTTATTGCAGATGTGGACACCATCAAAAGTGAGACCTTCATAGTGCTAAAATTATAAGATGTAATCTAAATGAAGATGTAATCTAAAATTATATATGCACCTTCATCCTCTTGCCAAAGTCATAGCAACCTTTCGTATTTCTATTTGGAGGGAACGCAACCCAATAAGAAAACCTAAAAATGTGTTCCATTGGTGCTGAATGTTTAAACAATCTTCATGCAGTTTGCATAGCATACCCTGCCCAAGGCCACATTAGCCCAATGTTAAATTTAGCCAAAATTCTGCATCACAATGGCTTTAATATTACCTTTGTCAACACTGAACACAACCATAGACGTCTTCTTAAGTCTCGAGGCCCTTATTCTCTCAAGGGCTTGCCATCCTTTCGTTTCGAGACCATTCCCGATGGCCTCCCACTATGTGACCCTGATTTTACACAAGATATTTTTGCTCTTAATAAATCCATAACCACCACTTGTTTGGGTCCTTTCAAGAATTTACTTGCCAAGCTCAATAGTACTGTTACGCGGCGCCTTCCTGAGATTCCTTGGAAGGGCGACGTAAGGCTAGGCAACTGATGTCAGTGCAGTTGCTGTCCGCCAACTGAGGTCCCCTCCGTACGCTAGACGAGATTGTCAGTGCCGTACGGGAAAACCAATATCAAGAGCAACTGAGAGAACAGAAATGAGAATTCAGAATGAAAGAAAGCTTGATTGCATTAATGAAAGCTATTACAGAAAAGCAACGCGGTGTCGAGGGGGAGAGACACCAGTACAGAGAATTGCTTGCTTGCTAGTAAGTTTTGATTGCTTGATCCCCCCTAATAGTACTTAAAAAAAATAATCCAAAGTTACAAGACTAGACTTGACTAAGCTAGAGAAACATAATGGAAGTACATGAAATAAAACTACTCTATATTTACAATGAAAATGACTTAGTTTTCTGTAAGGCAGCAGCAGGTCCGTTGTCAGCAGCAGTGTCTTTGGCATCACGGTCTGCGCGCGCGCGGCGCTGTTGGCTTCTGCCTGCGGCTTGGCGCTCGCGAGGGATATCGGTGGGGCGACAGAGGCACCTGCGCGCTTGTCCCTTGGCGCGGCCAAGACCACGGGGCCGTCCGTGGCGCTAGGCATTGGGAGGTTCGCTAGGTCGCCACGGGGCGCGCCCAAGGGGTCATGGGGCATGGCTGGAAAGCCGCCCATGACATTCTCCCCCACCTAAGTTGGCGACGTCCTCGGCGCCTTACTTGCAAAATAATCTTCAATGAGGCTCTTGTAGGCTTTGAGGTTTGTTCCCCTCTCCCAAGTATTCTCTTCTGCATCACAGCCCTGCCATTTCACCAAAAACTCTTAGTGATCTTTCCTTGAGGCATGAATCACTCTGTCATCAAGGATAGCTTCAACACGCCTTTTCCCGGTTGAATTGGGACCTTGAATACTGGGTATTGTGAGCTGGCTCCTTGAAGGATCCTCCGTGTCTTCCCGAAAAGGTTTCAGGAGACTGACATAGAAGACAGGATGAATTTTCCACCAAGCTGGGGTATCCACCCGGTATGCAACCTTCCCAATGCGCCTTTCAATGGACAAGGGTCCAATGTATTTTTGCAATAGGCGAGGGTCATGGACCCCTGCAAATAAGTACCGCTTTGGGATTTTGACCATCACTTTGTCTCCTACTTGATATTCAACAAAGCGACGATTCTGATCAGCATGCCTCTTCATCCGCTTTTGGGCTTTGACAAGATAGCTCCGCACTATCTCCAAATTCCGCCTCCACTCTTTTGAGAAGCTGGCAGCTCGAGGAGATTTAGCCATGTTTGGTGCATTCACAGTGTGTGGGAGTAGCGGTTGCTGTCCGGTAACAATTTCAAAAGCGCTTTTGTTGGTACTAGAGCTCTTTTGTGAATTGAAACACAGTTGAGCAGCATCCAGAAGCTTCACCCAATTCTTCTGCGATCCGGTTACAAAGTGGCGGAGATATTCCTCCAACATACCATTGAACCGCTCCGTCTGGCCATCAGATTGCGGATGAAAACTTGAGCTGTGACTCAATTTTGACCCAAGGCACTTGAAGAGTTGGGTCCAAAAGTTGCTAGTGAAGCGTGAGTCGCGGTCACTAACAATGTCTTTGGGCAGGCCCCAATATTTGACGACATGAGAGAAGAAGAGTCGAGCTGTATCTTCTGCTGATATATATTGTGGGGCTGCAATAAAGGTGGCATACTTGGAAAACCGGTCCACCACAACCAAGATGGTTGTGAGATCTCCGACCTTGGGCAATCCGGTGATGAAATCCAGGGAAACGCTTTCCCAAGGTCTCTTTGGGACAGCGAGTGGTTCCAAGAGTCCCGCTTGTGTCAAGCG